GTGCACTTCAAGATGGTGATTATAACCTGATTTATATTAGCATTTTTTCCATATACCCCAATAACATGATCTGATTAATGTAATTTCTCGTTTGTGCATTTTCATATTTTATCCTTAGTGATAGGAGAAAACATTTTCATGTCTGACGAGGACTTACCTGGGGATGCCATTTCCGAATTGTGGTACAATGAAGGAGAGTGTTATGATTATGACAATCCGGGATGGAATAAAGGTAACCTATAGAGGGCGATATACATTCAGTTCATGCGCACGCAGCCAATGATGGCAGTGTATAAAATGCTCGTGCTTTCTTGGTTTATAACGTTCATTACTTTTACGTCAGAATAGTCGTCCAAGACACGGAAGTACCAGTCCTTTGAGCCAACGTTACTCAGCTTCCTCATTTTAATTTGACATTTACTAAATCGCCATCTTGATAAATTTTCAAAGAAAAAGTACAAATGATTCGTAAGTGAGCAATTCACGTCATCACGGGCATTCTAACAACATTATAGAATTTTCGCCAATGACACAGTATTGTGTTACCGCAATAATACTTTGATAATATTGTCACTGAAAGGGCCACTAAATTTGTTCCCAGGGAAATTTAAATTTTATTTTATCCCCGTAATTTTAAATCCCCGAATCAGCGAACATTTTGATACAAATCGATGAGATCTGGGTATATGACGCACAACGCCTGAATTTCAAAAGAATATCGGTCGTGCCATTTGTTTGACAAATCGTCATTTCCATTAAGACTAACAACCGCAACTGCGTCATTTCTTTTCGGTTTTACAACAATACGTTATTTCTTTTCAGATTGCCGTCATTTTACTCAGATGATTTGGAGGACGAGCACTGAGATTGGTGTCGGCAAGGCTAAGATGAAGAATTCAAATCGATACATTGTGGTCGTTAACTATAAGCCTGCTGGCAATGGTAATCTACCCAGGGAATTTAAGAAAAACGTGCAGCCCGTCACTCAATAAACAAATATGCAAACAACAAATTTAAACTCTTGAAACGATACTCAATATTAGCAATGAGCACCCTCTATCGACAAACCTGAGAAAACGAGTTCGTGTTGTTTTTAATTTCATAGATTTATTGTTTGGTTGCTGCAAAGTAATCCCATAAACCGTCACGAGTAGATATATTCAAACTATTACTGTCTGTGTTAAATATGATTAAAATGAAAACAAGTTTTGATAAACGACGATCAACAGAAATTTTCAGTTATTCTTAGCACCACCCTATTTAGTTGTCACACGTGACATGCACTGGCCTGACATGTACGTGCATGAAGTAAGTGGCGCCCTCGCCGGCCGACGGCATCAGACCTCAGACCTGTGTTGGGATTGGAGCACCGCGGAGGGCGCAACCCACGCGACCTCGTCAGGCTGGACATGCACGTGTCTAATATTTGACATCGTTACAATTTTCAGAACTATTTTTTTTTTCAAAAAAAGACGCATATAACTTGAAAAGCGAAACCTTTATTTAATAAATGTTCATCCAGGAAAAAGGCTCACATTCATATCATCTCTGAATAGAGCTAATAAGACAATATTAATATATCGGAAACAAAAAAGAGCTTATTATTAAAATCAGAAAAAAGACAATATTGATAGCACCATTTAATGAAATCAGCGTTGCCACGACCACGTGACGGAGTACCTGATATATTTCAACTAGAATAAATTAGAGAACGAACGTAACTGGAGAAACACAACCAATGGATCACGCAGTGGCCAAGTGCAGTGGCGTCATGTAGACGCCCAGCGTAGCGGGCGAGGTTTCTTCTGTAAATCATACGATTATACAAGACAATTCAGAAATTTGAACGTGACCTCCACTCGCGATGAAAAATCCAGCCGGTGGTAGCAACTGGCTGTGAAGTGTTGCCTTGGCAACGACAACCTCAACGCTCTACGTACATTACACCCATCACTACAAATTTCAGACCCACCAGTTTTCAAATTCTGAACAAAACCAAAGAATCACAGAAGTGACTTAAAACATTACTATTAGAACTTTCCGAGGATATTATATGTGAAATACAAAATGTAATTTCAAAAGAAACAAACAAACAAACTTCTTATTTAATATTTTATATTAAATCCACTGCGGTACTCAGTGACACTTTTTTGACAATATGTAACTCGAATTGAAACCTACTGTCTGGTTTACATCTAGCTTGTAGACTAGTCACTACCAGTAACCAACCACTACCAGTAAGTCGAACCAACCGCATACAAAAATAGCAAGAATTTCACTTCACAGTCAATGCCTGAAACACATTATTATATTATAAGCGCATCTATAACCTATGACCTGAGGTCTCATAAAAACATGCTTTCATTCAGGTTTCCCGACCTACCACGCGAAACAATGTAACAATGTTTGCCACACACGCCTTCTGGCAGTGCATTTAGCAATATTTCAGACATGCGCAGAACGACCCATTGATCACGACAGCGGTGAAATTAAAAGTGAAAACAAAAAGACAACCTGACAAATCTGTGTTTCAGCTATATAAAGCATTTGTGCAGGCGTACGCTTGCCATCCAGATTCGCCTTATTAAATTTCCATTAATATTTGTAGGTATTTAATAATATTATTTTTTAATTATTTTTGTGTGTGATCAATCTTGATGATATTAACAGTTTGTCACTTAATAAAAAACAATGAAGAATTATAGTTAGTAAATGCATTTAAAAGGTTAGTCATGTTGAACATTTACAATTTCAATTTAAACCTGGGTATAAAATATATAACTTTTTTTTCTTTCATAAATATCTCAAAAATTTATATAGCGCCACCAATAGTCAAGAGGCAGCAGTTGTATATTGTCCACCACAGCAAGGACACAGTCGTCGCCTCTGTAACCGGAACCAGTTTGCAGAAACTCATGGGAAATATTACAGAAGGACAGAGCTACTACGAAAACAAGTATTTAGATAAATATAGAAATGTTCTTTGTTTGTTATCTCTTCACAACCGACGCACAATTGATGCTAATTACGCGACTTCCGGTGAGATGGAATTATGTGACTTTTTTTTGGGGGGGGGGTAAAAATATCAAATAAGTAAAAATTCAAAACGCTTGGCAACGTTCTTATTTGTGTAGAAAACAGAATCATCTAGAGTCTAGAGGTAGACCAGTGATGTAAACGGAGGTAAGTGTCCGTAACAAAAGCCGTGCCCCATCGTTGTCGTATGTATGTACGAATTTCATGAAATATTTCAGACAAATGAAATAACCTGCAGACCCTATGTAGACCACCATTCATGGCGTTGATCATTACCAGAAACAAACGGGTTCGATTTCGATCTTGACCGTGGAATCGGGAACGTGGCCACTGTGGGAGGAATAACCGCCCACGATGACGTCTACTATTGGCAACTGCGTCACATCCTGAGTACGAAAAGTAAAGTGCGTCATTCCCCACGTGCCGTCTAACGTCTGAAAAGTAAAATAGAACTTTAGTAGGGTATTAAAGTGCATTGTAGCGGTTCAAGCCAGGTTAGACTGTAAACTACCCGTGTACACACACTCTCATTAGGGCTAATTATAGCCTTCAAAAGATAGTAGGACTACGACATTCCCCGCGCAAATGTAGTAAACACAAACGGGTGCTATCATAAACCAATAGAAATCATAGACGTGTATATCAACTAACACGCCGCCCCCAACGTCATCTTCGCGAGTATGTGCTGTTGTAAAACAAGAAAAACTTGATATGCCTGGCTCAGTGCAATAAAGTCAGCCTCTTTCGCGAAAAAAATATTAAACCTTAACAATCCTTGTCGAAAATCTACAATTTTAGTTATTGATAAAAATACTCAAGACTACCGACCAATCAAAATGGCGATATTATAGTTACTTGCGATTGGAATCAAACAAAGGATATACTAAACATATGAACCAAAAATAGAGAAAGAAAATATCTCACCCGACAGCCATCGTAGTCAATTTTTATATCTTGGTTGCCATGACTACCATACTCATACACTTTCCCATCCCATCCTTTAAATTTAACGGAATGTCCAGAATTGCGCCACACGCTGACATTATTACAATGAACTTTGACCCCTTGCGTCACTTCCGAACTCAGCAGGTGCAGGAAGTTCATTTGTACTTTAGACACTGGGTACTCAAACTGCAATTATAGAAAACGTTTTGGAATTATTGTCGCACCCTCTACTGTAAAATATTCGGTGCCAAGAAAGTAACAATTCAGAAAACTTGGTGATTAATACTGTGATTTGATAGAGCGTACATGGCTTATAATATGAGGTATCTACGAGGATACATCAAAGTATGAACGAAAACAATACATCGGGGCTATCGATCCACGCGCAGCGCAGGTCGATGCGACGGCGTACTGTCTGAGTGCATACTTTGAGGTATCCTCGTAATAACCGTATCATACATCTTTTCCTTCCACGGATATATCATGGGAATGCCGAAATCTTTGTGTGGAGTCCGGTCAAACCCTGGTGGCAGCCATGTTTGTTTTTATTATTAGAGGACGCTTACGCGCGTAATCATTCCATATTTGGATTTCGCATTTCCTGATGTGGTAGGATGAAAATACCCCGTAAAATACCACAAAATTACGGCACGCTGAAACTTATGGCATTACGGTGACGATGTATAATAATGGCTATTATTAGTTTACTAAAATAGTCCTGAACTCTGACACCCACATAGAGTAACTGTGAGATAAATTGCCTTAATCTGAATTCATTAAATAATAAATTGCAGTCATAACAATTAAATACACTGCTTTTTACATTGCGAAGGTTTAGCAGTATATGCAGATTCACTATTTAAAGCGGGGGAGTCGTCACAAGCGTCTGCCCATGAGCCTTTGCGTTCTTAGCGTGTTATCATCGCTTGGGACTCCTGCACGTCCTGCGCAGGTGACGACCCTCCCGCTTTAAAATCATTTGAATTTTCACCCTAATAATCTATTGAAATAATCTTTGAAATAGGGGTGAATGCTAAACTAAATTAAAGTATTATATACCTCAATGTCCGTTGAGGGACTAAGACACGTCATCCCACCTTCCGCCAATTTACACTGGGCCTGCAAGGCATCATGGGAACAACCGAGATTGGGATCTACCCAAAAAGTTCCTAGAATTTAAAAGAACATCATATATGGTAAACAAAAACGAAATGGTTGTCAGGTGATTCGCACAATGGCGACTACAAGGTTCAATTGTTTCAAGGCATGTTAGACAAACTTGAACCATTGTCAATGTCAAGTGCCCGTCCAGTGATTGCCAACATTAGTACCATTAAGTAATTATTTACACTCGTGTGACATGATATAAAATGGAGCCAGTTTATTTGTGCGATTCCTTCCTTTATTCTGCAAATGACATCCATAATGCATTTTTAGTAGACTCAGATTCTGAAACAGATGTGTATATGTGATACATGATAAAGCATATGTAAAGTTTGATCATGGTCAGTCCGGCATATTAGCAACATAGGTCCAAAAACAGCAATTTGTTAAAACAAAATTGCCATCAGCCAGCCATTTTGAATCAAATCAGGACTCATTGTGTTCAATGGACATAACAAGTTTGAATTTAATTTTTTTAGCACTTCATTCATACATTTTGAACAAATTCACGTTCATTCTCATGTATGATACGATGTGTGATGTACGTGTCAAGATTGAATGTGATCTGTCAAAGCATGTTAGAGATATGACCTTGGAACTGTATTTGTGAAAACAAAAGGGCCGCCAGTCGGCTATTTTCAATCTGTTATGAAATAAATACGTACATCAAGGATCCATTATGTTCAATGGACATACCAATTTTGAAGAAAATATGTTCATGCATGACTGAAATACGGTTCTGGAATTGCAGATATGCTCGATAATACCGCCATTCGGCCATTTTGAAATTGATCCAGGTCCAGTTACAGACGCGGACGGATGCACGGAGGTGAAATTATAAGTCTCCGTTTTCAGACTACATCCGAATGGAAATTAAATATAACGAGACAACACGTACCATCTTTTTCGACAAGACGGCATTCAACTAAATCTCGACACGTTCTCGCGGGATTTTCCCGCGACCCCGCGGGATATTTCAGACTCTTGAGGTAAGATTCGAGGTAGTAAAGCGTGGAGAAAATTTCAGATTCCTGATAAAAAAAAACATAGAACAATATCTCACAAATAAGCAAGCACACATACACAAATATCTTTGATCGATAATATGTCGATGCGCATTTTCAATTTAAGTTTACAGTGGAATTTCTGTCCATTGTTTGTTGGACAAGTTAGCACATGTTTAATTATTGAACTTTGCTAGCTATCATCTCCAATTTATTTCAATATTTTTTAATTAATTAATTCACGTGTTCGTCGTGGTACAATTCACCTAGTTTTAATGAATATTTTGACAAACATGTCGTTGGCAGCAACAGCATTCGCCCACTTACCTTACTATTACTCATTCTACGGGTTTCGCTAGTGCTAAAATAATGGTCTAAAGCGTCTGCCAACATTCTCTCAAAAATAACTGTACCCTGAAAACAATACAAATTAATTCAATCAATCAATCAATCAATCAATCAAT